GACTCGGACACCGATATCAGAAAGGATTCCGACTTTGACATTGAGATCGATGCCGACGAAGTTTACTCTAATGCAGGCGGTGCCGATCTTGATGCCAACTACCGTATGGAGGAAGATAATGCTGATAATAGCCATCAACTCTACGATAATGACGATATCATGTTGGATGAAGAGGATGATGTCATCTTTGAGAAACAACAGGTAGATGGTGAAGCCGATCCTGTTCCAGACGGGATTCCTGCAGTTCCTGAGGCTTCGCCAAAAACACTTCCAGAGGAACAATCAACCGTTCTCGAAGAACCCAGCATCACGCCCAACGTTCCCCCTGCCATTTCAGAACAAGCTGATCAGCCTTTACTTCCGTTGGAAGAACCCAATGCTGGTGAAGCTGCCCATCTCACAGATTCCCGGCAAACAGTATCGCCCACGGGAGAGTCTCGTGGTGCTCTCGCCTTGCTTGAAAATACCGAAAAGGCTGTTGTACATGAAGCCGTTATCCAAGACAGCGACTTGCAACACAAGGACAATGTCTGGAGCGAGAATACGTCTGTAACCCTTACGAACGAAGTAGTGTCCTTGGAGGAGCGACAGGCGAGTGGAGCAATCGAGCAACCCCATCAATCCGTTACCACTGGTAATGAAGTTGAGGAACTAGGTGCTGTTAACCTTGCGAATGAGCCCCCTGGTTTCGACCCACACCCAGTTGTAGTCCAGTATGAACAAAATCACGTTTCGCTATTCCCGCCTTCTGATGATGTTGATCTGCCGTTTTTTATCAAAGATGTCGGTGTTTGTCTGAGGGGGATGAATGAATTGTTTTCGGAGCTTCGTAATGTTTTGGATGGATCTGTTAGCCCAGGAGATGAGTTGGTAATTAAGATTGTGGATTATGGTGTTGAAATTAGCGAGGTGAGTTTCTTCCTTCACTTGGTGCTCATGGTTATATTTACTAACTTGCCTGATGTTGGTAGGACTCTAAGTCTTCATATGAATTTTCGCTCCAGCACATCCTCGATCTTCATGTCCGACTCAGTCTCCAGGACAACATGGAAAATCCAGAAGCGCTTCGTTTAGTTTTATTTTCGCGCCCTAGCGTGTCTGACCGTATCAATATGTTGCTTAGCTCCGCAAACGAAGGCCTTGGTTACAACAAGGCTATCGAGTATGCAAGGCGCAAGTCGGAAGGCAACGACGCGAACTCCGAGCAGAGATTCGTCGAAGCAAGTGAAGGTGGAAATCTTCAAGAACCTGAAGTTGAAGATTATAATAATAATGATGACTCACCTGTGGCGTTCGCACATGCTACCGATAAGGCCACTGAAGTAGAACCTAACCTAACAGAGGATCAAGGCAGCATCTTAGAACAGAAGGAAGAATTTGAAGAGGATGATGGTGACGATGACGACGATGACGACGATTTCGATCTTGAATATGGAAACGACGATATTGCTAACGGTGTGGGGGGTGAGGAGAATGAGGGTGGTGACAATCAGAAGGATGAAGCCCCTGACCCCTCCCATCCCACTGAGGCTGTATCTAAAGATTCACCTGCTTCTATTAATGAATCGCCTAATTATGGCTCAGAAACTCCGAGAGCCCAAGAAAACGCAGTGCTCGAACTCGAGACCGTCTCCGATAGTGCTTCACCGAGGGATACCCAAACCCCCGACGAGGTTGAGGAGAGTGTTTCCACAGTTCAGGGTGATGAGGCTCATTCTACCGAAGAAGAGGAGGAGTTGATTGAGTATGAGGATTATGAGACATTCGGAGAGTCTGAATCTCATCACAGCCCACACACTGTCAATTCGGAATCTGCGGAGCAAAATCTGGGCAACAATGGACCACCACCTCACGAAGATCTAGAGCAGCAGCAAGACACAGCTGGGCCATCTGATACCCCTGGTAAGCTCTCTCTCTTTCCTTACCGCCCACCCGTTTTCTTATTCTTGTGCAAATACTAATGTAGGCAACAGAAAACTATGAACAGGAACCTGTCGTTAATTTTATCGATCCAGGTGAAAATGCTGCTGATGGCAATCATAACGAGAGTCATAGCCCTAGTGACGGCGATGTGAACGTAAATAATGAGCCATCATCAATTCCCGTCTTCGGAGGTGATGGTGAAGGCGAAGAGGATTATGTTGGAGAGCAGCAAGAGGAGTATGGTGAATATGAGTACGACGGTCAGCAAGGTTTCGAGGCTGGACAAGATGCAAGCCGAGATTATATCCCAGATGACGAGCAGTATGACATTCAAGACCCTTTGGAGAATAATCATGAATCCAACATGCAGAGGCATAGCCGCCCAGAACAAAATGACCAATCAATTGGTGATGAGCAAAACCAATACCTTGATGAGACCGTTGAATACGAAGATGGCTACGAACATTACGATGCTGAGTACGACGGCGCTGTTAATGGACAAGAAGCTTTGTCTGGTGAAACGGAGTACGATGTTGGCTACCAAATCTATGATCTCAACCAGGCCCACCTCCGGACCGACTATGACGATGATGACACAGCTACTGGTGATGCGAATGAATCTGGAGTGGCAGTGAGCGCCGAAAATGACGAGGCTGTCGATAGCCTACCCTCACCGGAACCCGCTCCTGAAGTGGAGTCCTTACTTGGCTACGACAGTGATGATGCAGAACACAACATACTTTTAGAGGCAAAACCAAGCACTGAACAGAAGAGAATGTACGACGAGTTAGAACAAGACGAAGATGATGACGAGATCTTAGGTTGGTCAAAGTTCTCTACCCCCTCCACGACAAGTTCTCCGTCCTCTGACAGAACCTCCTCGCGACCAGCGAAACGTCAACGATCAGATTAAGGTCTAAGTCGTCCTTTGCAGTCTTTGCATTCTACCAACGCAAATATCTTCACTTTTTGTTCTCTTGCTTTGCATTCTGAAACTGCCATCTCGACTGCCATCTCGGCTTCCCTGGCAGTTTCTTTTATCGATAAAAGCGGATCGCAGGTGTTTGGGTGTCTTTCTGTTCGGCGTTGTTGTTTTTTTCCTTTCATGGTTTCGTTTTCGCTTTCTATAACATCCCGTTGTTTTTCTGGGGATATCTTTGAGATGCTGCATTTTGTTTCTTAAAGTGCTGTTGTTCATACAACAGACCCGAGGGTTCTAAGACGCCTTCACTGTAAGGCTTCATTGTGTTCCGGAAGGCTTCCCCACCGGGGCCATAGCCCTCGGCTATTGACTGGCTATCGATGCTGGATGGGTATTTATGGTAAAGTTGAATTGGGGGCTTCATGGCGGAGACTGGATGGATTTAGGGGGGATCCTGTTTGAGTTGAACCTCAACGTATCGAGTAAGTCTAGGATAAGTCACTTATCAACCCCTCCCCTTTTCTTTCATTCCGTTTTTTTCTGCCCTTGCTGTTATTGTCTTCACGCGTGGCATTTCCACCCAAGTCTATCTACTTGTGGATTTACCCTGATGTGCCCTGCCCTTACCACACATCAAATCCCATTGTAATACGTACCCCCTGTTTTTGTTTTGTTTTTTCCTGCTATCCTTCCTTGTTATTTCTCGTCGGTGAGATTATTTTTTCTACCTTCCACAGCAGACAATTCAGTAGTAAAGCATGTTAACCTGGGAGCCTTTGCTACTATATGCCCGGCGATTGGGTTTGTTTCATTTCTCTTTCATACGGCAAAGGCCAATTGAAAATGTAACTACCACTGTTTCCTTTGCGGCCCTTTTATTCTTATAGGTACCTGATGGGGTTTCTGGAGCATGGATAGTAGAGAGGTTCAACCCGTGGAATTGTTAGCTAGATACTCTTATCAAACCGTTTTCCTGCCTTAGTATTACAATTGTGGGGCATGGCCTACCGTATGATATCGCGACCAACTTTCATGCCCAGTCACCCGTTTTTCTCGAGCACTGGGGGCAATAGTGGGTGGGCGGGGAGGGGTGCGTTGGGGAGTAGTAATGCTCGATACCACCGGTAGTATTATAGTGGGCTTGGGATGCCATACTGAGATCCATCTACTATCAGAGACGGGCTCCCAATTCACACCCAGCACCCTTTATAAGTACAGTACAGTACTTGAACACGGGAGTGAATTTGCCCCACCAAATGACCAAACGACTGTAGATGCACCCATTACTAGCAATATCAGCAAAAGCGCAAGCTCAGCATCACCAACGCTACTCCCACGAATATCTTATACTCCCCAAAATAAAGAGTCTGTTTTCGAGGCGTAGCCACTGCCGTCTGGTAGTCTTGACAAACGGGGTGGGAGGTTGGGTTGATTGCCAATGCTCACCGATAAGTCAAAAATCCATAGAAACCAGTGTCTCTGACACAGCGGGCGTTCAAGCATACCGTGGGGAAAGCTCTGGGAAAGGCTCTATCCTAACGAGTACGATACCCTGTCTTCTGGACTGCTAAAACCGTGGAAAATTTCGTGCCGCGCTTGTCAGTGTTCAAGAACAAAGATGATTAAGGCACTCCTTTATAGTATTATTCAGTGATGGTGAGCTTAGGCACGATCACATACGGTACCCTACCTAAGATTAGTTATTGTCTGAATTTTTTTGCACATCTGTGAATTTGTTGTAAATAACAAAGAGTTGCTTCTTAACCTGTGTCTCGGAGACTGACAGGAGACGGCACAAAAATTTCCACGGGTTTTCAGCAGTCCAGGAGATACCGGTAGCAACGAGGGCCGAAAGATAATCTTTTCGCTGTGATTTTTTCCTTCTGCGTAATACAGAGGGGGAAATACGATACTATGATAGTACCATACTGGACGTCCCAACGCCATTCTCAATTATTTATCTTTACGGTATCATACTTTACCACATCCGGCTTATCGCGAGCCGAGACCGCCCACAGCCCCGGGAGCTCCTTCTGCCTCCCCCAACAAGAAGTGATGTCAGTCCCCAAAATCTAAAGGGACTTATGGGGTGTCCTTTGTTGATCCACTTTCTTTGTATGGGTCAATTATTGAAAAAGTTCAAAATTCTGAAACAGCTCGGCTGGTCTAGTGGTATGATTCTCGCTTAGGGTAATACCTTAAGAATGCTTGCGAGAGGTCCCCGGTTCAAACCCGGGGTCGAGCCTTTGCTTTTTTCTTCTTCTTTTTTTTCTATAGGTTGAGGTTATCTATTACAGTACGGGTATTTAAATTCACCAAGCGCTGGGGCACTGGAAAGTCTGGGGACCTGATTTTCTGGCCAAGGTCAGTCAGCTGTTACCAAATCTAGTGATACCTGCATATCTTGTGAAGATACGGTACCCCCGATCCATAATCAGCTCACGACTCAGGCCCCTGAATACTACTGTCCGCCAGCCCTAATTACGTGCCTTGATTGTCCATGATTCCCTTGGTTTGCCCTCGAATATAGTCATATCCCTTAGTTCTTGTCCATTGTATACGTTTCCCCCCCCTATCGTTACACCTGGGGATCCTTGGTTAGATATGCTAATGTATCAGTCTCGACAGCTATGATACCGGTAACTGATCACTGACTGATCACTCGTGTTGTGTTCCCGTTAGTCAGTCATTTACTCTGGTCATTCATTCATTACCCACGACAACCGACACCCAACAAATTAATCAACCGTAAAACCAATCAAATCTCCGCAAGAAAGGCTTAAACCCGATGATAATGGCGCCGAACAGGGGATGGACTGACTAACTAACTAACTACAGACAGCTGATTATCCGGGCCCTCGGGTGGGGGGCGTTAGGGATCATTGGGGGCTTGGTGTTAATAGATTGGAATCTGCTTTTGCTGTTGCAAGGAAAGAGGTTGTTGCTGCGCAGGGCACTGAGTGATGGTCGATGACGCCTAAACTCGTTCCACTCTTTGAGGGGGGGGGGGGATATATTGATGGGGAAGGACGATATCGATCCTGCCCTGCATGAATGAGTGACAAGATCTGACATATAAAAGCTGTGTTTAAGAAAGGTTGTGAGTTTATCTCGAGCGCTGGTACCCGAAACGATTACTCTGCTTCATCTCATACTTCGGGTATGATACAGGCACCAGAGTGTTCCCGCGCTGGGTATCCTGGCGACGATCCATTTGTCTTGGCGATCCGCGGCGACAAAGATTGAGGTTAGATGTGAAGATGGGGGAAGTTCAGTAACATTTCTAACATTTACAGGTTCTAGATATCGTGCTGGGCTTGCTCTCTGCCGTATCAAGAGCATGTGCAGCGATCGTTCACGAACATCTCCTGCGTTAGAAATAAATTACCATCCCCATGAAACGCTTTTTGGTTCACTGGCGGGATGAACTTGGCGCATTCAAACCCCAGCTGCGCAGTACCGGTAGTTGGTGAGTGATAAACCGGGGGGGGGGGGGCTGGGCACATTGCCGGATCGACTCTTCAATGGGGGCTCTTTCCTGATCTACCGTATCCCGTCTTCGGCTCCGGTACCGTCGATAAATCGATCGATGTATGATAGGACCCTTTATTTTTTGCGAAAATCTCTCACGGTGACAGCGGGGAGGATGACAGGAAGTCCCGCGTAACATTATGCAGAATGCGGGTCCCCCCCTCCTCCTCCTCCTCCTCCACATCCTTCTGGACCCTTCATGTTACTCTGAACAGCAGAGCGAGAGTGGGGAGGGGAGGGGAGTAGGGGCACGGGATTTTACGATCACAAGGGACGACATAAATAGTTAGGAATCTCTTCCTGTTTCTTTTGTTTTGCTTTTCCTTTCTGTGGTGGTGTGTCTGTGTCTGTGTATCTGTGTCTCTCTCTCCACAAGACTGCAAATACTGGTATCATGTGTACAGTACAGAATCGAAGTGCAATTATCAGCTGAATATTGTATTTTGGGATTCTTCCCCGAGAGTCTTTTAATATAATCCACATATATACAGACAGACATACCACCCACGCCCCCCCCCCCCTCCTTCTTCTTCTCCTTCCCCACTCCCTGCTGCCCCACTCTATTGGTATCCCCCCGGCAATTTTTCTGGTGGACCATTACTTCGGAGCTCTAAGAATTCCTGAAATCGAATTTCACAAAAAAGAAAACGAAAGTGGTTCAGTTCAACCTGTAGGATGAAACATTACTTCTGATCCGATCTCATCATCATCATCATCTCAACATCGAGCGCGGTAGACTACCGTACTGTCAACCCCGCCCGGGACTTCACAGTGGCAGGCATCGTAAAGTATATATCCTCCCCCCCCCCAGCCCGCACTCTCGTAGGTGAAACTATCCTCACGCTCGAGTTTACAGAATAAAAACAAGCCCTGCGAATATTCCTCCTCCCTCGCGAAGGATACAAATAACGGCGGATAAATAAATAAATAAATAAAAGCTATTACCGGTACTCTACCCCACACCACAACAAATAACACAACAACGGGAAATCAACGAATTAAATGCCGCACCCCCACAAATACCCCGCCAACCAACAACACCCCGACGACCAAAACCCGATCCCGACCCCACCACCACCACCACCACCACCACACCACCACTACCGGCGGCGGCGGCAGACAACAAACCCCGCGCCGCAAAAGCGTGCTACCAGATCCCTAGAATCATGGCTCCTCTCCGACCTCGGTCGTCTCAGCATGACTACCACCGTCCCCAGCCCTACTACCCGACCACCACCCCCCAACAACGACAACAGCGCAAGGCCGAGAACCCCACCGAGCACCTACTATACCCATACCCACTACACCTCTTCCTCAGCTTCATGCGAACATTCGTGCTCGTTGTCTTTGGCTTCCGCATCCTCCTCCCTCCCGCGATCGCGAGGCCGGACGCCGTCCACCTCCAGCAGTGGCAGCAGCAGCAGTAGCGCTCGGGGGGAACACACGGAAGAGGGTGATGGATTACCAAGGTACAGATCCGCCATGGAATTACAAGGGCTGGAGAATGAAGCGTTGTGCGCGTCACGACGACGACGGGGAGTGGTAGCGGTGCAGATGCTTCGGGAGGTTGAAAGTGGGAGCGATGGTGATGATGATGATGATGATGATGGGTTGGAGAGGGAGAGGGAGAGGGAGAGGGGGGGAAGGAGGAAGAGGTTTTGGAGGTAATGTTTATTGTCTATTATTGTTTATTGATTTCTGTCTCACCATCTATATATCGTTTTGGCTTTTTGTCTGCTTGTTTATCTTCTTATTTGTGAGCTTCGTTAGTCCCCACCCCCCCCCTCCTCTCTATTTGTATCGCCACGGAGGGAGGGAGGGAGGGAGGGCGTTAGCGACGTTCACTTCATTTTCCATGGGTTCACAGGAGTTTACGGCGTATCATATATCAACGGTCGGCGTCGGTGTCGGTGGCTATCCATTTTCCTTCATTTTTCCTTCATTTTCTCGGGCGTCAGGGCTAGATGGATGGATGGATGGATTGTCTCGTGTAGACTTTTAGACTTAGACTTAGACTTAGACGGGCTAGATCTAGGTGTTCGAGTGAGTTTGCATGATTAGATGGCGTTGGTTGGTGAATCGGTTGGAGTTTATTTATTTCTTGGGTCTATGTATACCGGTAAATAAAATTTGGGTTGGGTATATGGTATGTATGATACATGGATGGACGAATGGACGGCTGAATTAGTGTTTAAATGTTAGATTCTCATGTTTGGAGAAAAGGACCTTGGGTACCGTATCATAGATGGTGGGCGGGGAGCAGGATCAATATCACCGAACCGAGCCAACCAGCACGGGGAATTCCCGGTATCACAGCAACGTACAGTGCAAGCGGGTACCGTAAATGAATGAGTAGATAAGGTAATTTGAATAACCGCAGGCGAAAGCAATGGGGTAAGTAAGTGAGTAGAAAATATCATAATGTGAAAAAAGTCGGACGGAATCGTGGTATCGTAAGTACCGTGAATTAGAATACATGACTTGGGGAGAAGAAATTGGGGGACATAAAAGAAAATGAACGAATGAATGAATGATAGACTAGACCGGATGGATGGATAGAGAGGGTTTTTGTCTTGCTGGTCAATTAATCAATACCGATACGCCACAGGTCCGGGAGTCTACAACACCGTATCCTCGTTAACACTTGTTTCCAAGCATGAGACAAGATATAGTAATGCATAGTACATACCGCAGGGCTAACCGGACTATCCGGTACCCTCTCCCTCTCTCTCTGCGCATCCCTCTGAACATCCACCCCCAGACCCGTACCCCTCCTACCGCTCTCCCCCGGCGGCGTACCTGGTTCATCACCAATACCACCACCACCCCCCATCACATCCATACCACCCCCCGCAACATCAGTAATCCTGGCCCCCTCCGCAGTCTTATGCACCTCCTGCTTCTCGAGCGCCTCCTTGACAGCACGGGCATGCTTGCCAACAGCCATAGTCAGTAAGTCATTTGTCATTATCAACGTTGTCAGCGTGTCCTCGTCGATTCCACCGCCATCCCCGGCGCCGTCGTCATCTCCGCTGGCAACAGATATGTATCTTTGCATGGAGCGCGAGGCAACCTTACAGCGGTCGGCAAACTCGCAGATGAGTTCGTTGCGCGGGATTTCCGGGTGCGGGGTGGATTGTAGCACTTGTTCGAGGAGTTTGGCGGAGGTTTGGGCTTCGGAGATGCGTGCTGCTAGTTCTTCCATGTTTGGGAGGTGTGATTGGTGGGCTGAGTAGTGGTGAGGTTGGTGTTGACCGTTGGTGTTGGGGATACTGGTGAAGAGACCGCCGCCACCGCCGAAGGCGGGGGCAGACTTGGACAACTTTGCCATGTTCCTCTTCTCCTTCGCCCATACCTCCACCAGTCCCTTCAATCCCTCCACCTCCTCATCCCCATGCCCCTCGACCTCGACCCCGACCCCCGCCGTCACCCTCCCGTCAAAGTGCTCCAGCGTCTCGACCAGTTTCTGTCTCACGCTCGGTTCACGCCCATGCTTCAGCAACTCCTTCACCGCCGCAATGAACTTGGCCTCGGCTAGATTTCGCGTGAAGGCGCAGCTTGGGTTGTCGCTGAGGATACGCGTCAGCATGATGGCGTTGCACTGTGTGTGCGGCCGCAAACTGTTATTCTTCTTCGTCTCTAGGTACTTGCGTATCGTGTGCGCCGCCGCACGCGCCGCTGTCGGCGAGGATTCGGCCAAGTCGACGATGGTGG